TGCGCGGTTTCTTGTTCTCATGGCATGCGAGAATCAGGGCCTTCAGTTCCTGCATCCCGCTGTTCATTTGCTGCTCCTGCTGGAGCTGGGCGTTGCGAAGGCCATCCAGATTCTGCTGGAACTGATGTTGGAGTCCCGCGCTCATGGTTTGGATCTCCGTCCGCATGGCCTGCATGTCACCTGCCGTCTGCTGACGGTCCTGTTGGCGCTCCTGCGAGGCACGGGCCTGATCATCCCGCAGTTGCTGAATGTTGCTTTCAAGCTCCGCAAGTCGGGCCTCAGTGGATTGTAGCCGGCCAGCGACCTGTTCACCCACGGCAGGGGCGGTAGCAAAGGAGCTGCGCGGTCTAGCAGCAGGTCCACCCGGGGTCACTGGCCGATTGGCCCGGTAATTGCTCCAGGGATCGCTCTCAAGCCACGGGTCCTCAGCTTGATGATGTGCCGTTGGCGGAGGGCCAGCCGGCAGCGGGCCGCCCGCTTGGATGACCGGGCTGGGAGGGGCACGGCTTTTGATTTCAGTGATGAGCACGGCCGTCTGGTTGAAGTGTGTGGTAAATGCCGGTGGCTCCACCTCAGCGCCTAGCAACCAAAATCGAGGCCCAAGAGCTTTAAGGACTTTAATGGGCCAATGCAGTTTGCGAGCCCACTCACCAATATCCTCAGCTGACGTGCCCGCCGGGAAAGGTCCTGCTTTGAGTGTCAGCTTCACCTGGACCGAAAGGGGAACAGTGGCACCTGGGCGCAATTGGCGGAAAACTTTCTCAAAAGCCGTGGCGGCTACACGAATCCCAAATTTGGCCTTTGACCTGACAATGCCGTGCTGTTCGGCCACCAGGGCCGCCTGCTTCTCAGCTTCACCCTTATCACCCAACAGCCACACCACGGACCAGCCTGGTAACAGCTGTCTGTCCCACGTTCGTGGCACCATGTAAACCTGATTGAACCCCGACTGCTGCAACAAGGTATAGTCAGTAACGTGTTGGGGACTTTGGCATTGAATCCGCACTGGTCAAGCAAGTGAGGTTGGCTCGGTCGGCCCGAAAAACGGAAGTATCTGTTCCAGGGATCGCTGAAGGCTTGATTGAGGCCCTTGTGCTTGAACGCATCCGCGGCTGCCCGGACGGGGGCTTGCACAACCTCCTGCCACACCTCAGGGGAGAAATCATCCTTGTACAGGGAAAAGCTGCAGCATGTTGTACCCTTCACATGGACCTCAGTCTTGTGCTCAACGTAGGGCTCAATGTTGGTTTCTCCGACATTGTGATAGCAGGCCGCGATCAAGTGTCGCTGGCCTGTTGCGACGTGACAGGCCGGGGCGCTCACTTTGCCACAGCAGGACTCTGGGTCCGGGCAGGAATGGCCAGGGATAACCACACACAAAGCCTCAGACTCAATGTTCCGGAGCAAATCAAGATCTACCGCAGAGGCTTCCGCGGCGTCAAGAAGCAGGACGCCGGCACCTGAATGCGTGGCGGCCTGGAGGATCTCAACAGCCTGATTGTCAATGCCGACCCATGAACCATGCTCGAGCCTGAAATCCCTGGCCCTGATTTGGGAGGACTGATCCAGCTTGTGACGTCGAACCGCTCGCTGAAGCCGTTTGGCCGCCTTTTCGGTGCGGTTGTCACCGCTCGGGAGTTGCACGCCCACTGTGGCCGCCACACTTTGCAACCCTTGCCACTGAGCAGCAGTCTCCGGCTCCGACATGATTTTAAGACAAGCGGTGGTTCCGAGCTTGGGAAGCAGTGTATCAACGGTGACAGTGGTCTCCGGCAGGCTAATGCCCCTGTCCAGGAGCAAACTCGCGACGCGGGTCTTAGCTAGCTGCTGGTTCTCATCTTTCACCCCTCCACCAATCATCTCAGGGAACACTGTACTGAGCAGATGGCCGGATTTGCGGATCACGCTGGCCTGGGGTTGGTCCCTCAAATCAAGGAGCTGGCTGTCTTCAGCATGTGGGTGCGGGCCGGAGAATATGCGTGCAGCAGCAGGCAACGAGCAAGCCACGGAGGCAGCACGCCACCACTCAACAAAGTTCTGGAGTAGCAGGGATCCCGGCAGAACACCCCTCCACAGTCGGCAAGCGACAAGTTGCACTTCGACCGTGACCGTCGGGCCGGAAGCGGGCTCAGCCGCAGCCTGTTCAATTGCAGCAACGAAGAACCACTGGCGGAACTGGCTGTGCAGAAGATCCAGCGGCATGTGGGGCCGGTCAGCCACCGGTGACATCTGGAAGTGGATCGGCGCATGCCTTCTTGGAGGGAACCCGGAAACAGCAGTCGCCCAACCAACCGCCTCAAGCAAGTGAAAGGAAGGGGAAGCACATCCACAAGTCACAGGCCCGTTCCGGTGGCCCGCGGAGGCTCAGTCTCCCCGCGGTGCTTTGCAATGCAATTTGTGGCAGCACTTGCACCAATCGGCGCAAGGAGAATGGCGGTATGTCCGCATCTTCACTCAATGCAACCATGCAGCTTGCAAAGTCAGCAGTGGTTTGCAAGCGCTGCCCCATCAACGAGAACATGCTGAGGGAGCAATCCGGCTCCGATGTGGGGTCCAACTCGCAGAAGATGCTGAGGAGCTGCGACCATGTACGGGGCCCTGTCTGTTCCAACAAGAAGGTGCTCTGCTGCGTAAGCACCAGGCAGAACCCTACCCCAATCAACCCGCCTATGAACCCACTACAGTTCAACTCAGGGAGGCACGTGACCTGGAGGCAGAAAGGGCCATCCTCAACAAGCCATGGCACAAGAGCCCTCTCATTTCCTGATCCGTTTGAAGCTGGGAGTCCGATGGCCTCGAGAAGGCGTGGCACTGGTAAGGCAGGTGGCACATGCAACACATATCGTCCACCACAGGCAGCACAGAGATGAACCTCAGTGAATGCGCTGGGCGGTTGCACCCGCAGGGGTAGGGGTGTTGGTGCCACTGTTTGCAGCGCAGCAATGACCCGTGGCACTTGGTCATGGTGACACAGAATCCAGCCCTCCTGGACTGGCATAAGCACCGTATTGCTACTGTGCAACCTGGCAGAGAGGCACCAATGCACAGCCTGCATCATTTCTGGCGCAGTCGGTACACGAAGGAGGCGGCAAGCCTGTGTCAAAGCGGCAGCTGCATGAGGCACAGCAATGGCATTGCCTAACAGTCTCATCTGGTCCTTAACAGAATCCGTGAGGAAGATAGGCTCCACAGCGCCGTGGATTGCAGCGATTTCCGGTCCCGCAAAGAACCGCAGCCCAGTCTGTCCATCATACAAGCAGCCATGAAGGCCTTGTCGCTCAAGCAGGCCCTGGGGCAACTCATGTTGTGATTGATATTGGGCCATAAAGACTCCAGCGCAGTCTTTGTCACCCTTCACTCGGTATTGCATGGGGGACTGTGGGCGGGCACCAGCCCTCGGCGGTTGGTACAAGCCAAGGATCCATGTACTGTTGTAGCACTTCAGCTTGCGGTGTGCACGGCTCCAGGATCTCTTTCGGCAGTGGAAACACAACGTTGGCTAGAGCCAGGCTCTGGCGCTTCACTTGCGCCCAGAAGCCCTGGTCAATGCACTGGGGTGCAACGGCTTCTGGCCGGCCAAGCACAATGAGATGCCTGAGCCTTTGGCCGGGCAGCACATCCCTTAAGTTGACAGTGTTCTGCCACATCACGACGTATCCGCTGTCCCTCCAGGCCTGCATGGTCTCCGCATAGTGGTAGTGTTTAGGGAAGAATTCCACCTGTTCAAGCAGGACTACTGGGACCTGATGTGCACCTGCAAGGTCGGCTGCCCGGAGCATAAGTTGCCCCTCATGGCTACTTAGGCCCGATCCCGTTCCTGCCCGAGACCATGGCTGGCAGGGAGCTGAAACACACAGCACGTCAATCGGAAACCGGCCTAGGGTCCTAACCCACCAACCCTGATTAGCATCAGCACACAAGTGGCATGTCGCATCATGGTCAGGCGGCAACACGTCTAGTTCTGGCAGTGACGTAATCTCCCGGAAGCTGTCTGTCCTACACTTGAGCATGTCTGCGCACTGTGGGTCCACGTCGAGTGTTCAACGTACGTGGACTGGCACCTGACTCCTGCAAAAGATGCTGCATGCCTGTGCCCATCCTGCAAAGCCGCCGCAAAAGAGCTCTGCAATCTGTAGTACTGTGCTGTCCTGTATCTTGGCCGTGGCAACCACGGCTGTGTCATTGCTGGTGCAGTCCAGCACTGGGACCTCACCCTCATACGTGACGACAGTCTGAAGGATTTTGACAGGGCCCTGGTCAGCCCGCACAAACACCCAATCCGCAGCCCTGAAAACCACAAGAGCAACCCGGCGTCTGCAGTCCTCTCCCAAGCGCGGCTCCTCCAAGAAAGCCCTTGTCAAGACACGATCCCCTTTATGGACAGGCTCCTGAAAAGGTCGCACCAGAATATTCACGCAAGCCCCCTTGGGCAAATAATCCAGAGATTGACACGTTCGGCTAAGTCTCTGCCACTCAAAGAGGTTCTGGAATGACTCTGGTTCATCTTTCAAAGAGGAATCCATGGCCCAATCCGCACTTAGCACCGCTAAGCAACGACCTCGCCCCTCGTAGGCTTGGGCCCAGAGGCTGGTGTGTGTGGTGCTTGCTTGCTTAAGCAAAACGGCTTGAGCCAAAATACCCTAAAACAAGGCTCAGGCTCCTAAGTTTCACAATCCCGAAAGTGCCGCCACTCCACTGAACCGTACGGTAGAAGCCGGAAAGTTGGAATATCATTATCATAACCCCTTTAAGGTAAATTATAGGGGGATCCTGCCATTATTCCATATTCCAACTTTCTGGAGTTCCCTTTAAGTGCACTTGAAACATCAAACCCAAAACTTGGACCCGATGTACGACTTCAGAGGGCAGAGGGGGGGACCCTAACCCCAAGCCCCAACAAAGTCCGAAGAACAGCCTTAGAAGATCACCCTTACCATGTAAAACCCCAACAAGAAAACCCTAAGAACAGAATTTCCTACAAAGAACCTGAGCCATGCCACCGTCACCAGCACCCCGAGCTCCCGCGGGCCCAGCTCGGAGACCCTTCGGAAGTCCAGTGTTTGGGTGTTCGGGCTCTGTTTTAAAAGGATATTTTGTAGGTTCTACGTCTACTATGTAAGGTTAAAGGGTTCTGCAGGGGACTTGGTGGTTTTAGGACTTCTTGGATTTAGAGAGTAAATTCGGACCTAATTAGGACTAGTACCCCTTAAGTTCGGGTCTCGGGGGGCTTATAGGGATTAGGGTTTATGTTTCAAGAGCTAGGGCTTTGGAGTTTTGCATTGGGGTTTTGACGTGAACAGGGTCACTTGAGCTGCTGTGGCTGCTGTGCTAGTGACGATCGTTTTGATCAACATGACACGAAGATCATTTCCGCCAGTACTGCAGCTGTTGTGCCACCGGGTTCTCTTGCCAACGACGTGACACCGGCTTGCCGAAGTGACGATGGTTGTCCGAATTGTATCTGATCTTGCTACAAATTGCTGCGATCTAACAGGTTTGAGTTAACACATCGAGCACAAACACGGCTGCAGCAGCAACAGCAACGGCAACGGCAACAGTAGCGAATACACATAAGTCGCCAACCAGCATCACAATGCTAGCAGCACCAGCACCAGCAACCGTGGCTGCGGCAGCTGAAGCAATAAACCGTAACCACCACGATGAGTAAGCCGAGGAAATTCCCAGACCCTCCACAGTACCCCTCCTTTGCAGTGCAAGCTCGCAGGTGGACCCGAAGAGCGCTGCTGCCGGCGTCGCCAAAGCGGACGGCTCTTGTCTCTTCGCTGCCTCAACAAGTTGAGGTTTGCATGTTGGGTCTTCGTACTTGAAGTGATGATGGGAGTTCGTCACCAGGGTCAGATCTCTGGTTAGCCCCACACGGCCTGTATCTGATTCCTATCCAGGCGGCGAGACCCGCGGCACACCGCTTCCAATCCTAGGAATCCTGTCCCTGCCTTAAGGACGAAATGAACCCCAAACGGGTTTAGGGTTCATGTTCATATACCTTGCAGGGATTCATAGTATATTTGTATGGGGCCCATACTTTTAAGGGTCATTTGGTCCTTAAGGCGCAACCCCAATTCCCAAACCTTGAACAGCCCACAGCACTACAAACTCCTCAGCCCTGCACCCCGAAATCTGCCAAACGTCATAAGCCGTTTAGAAGCCCAGCTAAAACCTCACTGTTCTCCTATAGAAGTCTACAGGAATCTGCTGCAGTAACTGTACTTTTCGGTTGGGGACTTATCGTCATAACTCAGAGCTATACAAACATATACCCCGAAGTCTTATTCTAACATATTGGATACTATTTCGGTTGCATGCTCGATCCCGCAAAAACCCTGCAGAAACTCTTTAAGCAAACACACTATGATAGCATGGATTAAGGCCACTCTGCCAAACCTTCTAAACCCTAAACCGTTTCAGTTATGTTTATACAAACCCCAAAACGTTCCCTACCCAGAGACTCCAACATCCCTTGACTAATGAATGTACCGTAACTCAAGATGGGATGTCTACTATGATTTAAGGAATATTCCCTAATTAAGGGATATTGAAGTCTCTGGGCAAGCAAAACCTCCGAGAGCCCGTCGCCTGGAGATGAGCAAGGACCCTCGAAGCGAGAAGCGCCGCACCGGCAATGTCCTCCGGGCTCCAGGAGGCGTCCTCGCTATTCTTCGGGTAAGGATCAGGGTTTACCAAACCTAAACCCTAAACCCTAAACCGTGGCTGTTTAGGGTTTGGGGTACAAGGTTTGGGGGGACGGTTAAGATTTAGGGTTCAGGGTCCAGGATCCTAGGTTTAGGGGGGACGGTTAAGATTCAGGATGTCGAGTTTAGGGTTTAGGATTTGGGGGTTTTCTTAACCCAGAGACTCCAAAACCCTTTTGCTTCAGGAATAGACCGTGGATCACTTAGATCATAATAAGGACTTGCAGTCTGTTTACATTCCTTCATGACAGGGTTCTTGAATCCTATAGGAATGTTCTATTCTGCGTATGGTTGACAGTAAGCTACCATAATCGGTTCTTAGTTCTTAATTTAAATTAAACCCTCCACCCTGAACCGTGGCTCTGAATGTAGGGTCTACGCGCTCACACTCGGACTCGCCAGATATTGTCTGCTGGTCTCCTTTCAGCTACGGGTGTGAGCAAAATTGCGCATGGTTTAGGATCCATAGTCCTAAACTGTAAAGCCTAAAGCCCAAAACCTCAAGCAATAAGCCCAAAACCTTAAACCATAAACCCCACACCTTAAACCTTAAAGCCTCAACCTGAAACCGATCCCTAGGGTTTGTGTGTGGTGTCTCATGGTTGTAAACGGTCCTTGGCTCGTGCCCGCTGCTCGGCCTCTCGAAGTGCCGGCGACCAGAAGCCAGGAGCCACATAGCCTTCATAAGGGTTCTTTGAGGAATCACAATCGGGGTTTAAGGTTTAAGGTGGTTTAGGGTTTTTTTGGGTTGAAGGTGTTTGCATGAGCCTTGTTTTCATGGGTACGGCCCATGTCTCAGAAGGCCTAGAAAGGCCATGGACTGGTTTAAGGCTCCTGTGGGGATGATAAGCGCTTCAGGAGTTCGGGGTGTGGGCTGCTCTGTTGGCTATGCCCTGGCTTATGGTTGGCCTTTTTTCTGCTTGCCGTCGTGATGCCACTGAAAAGGAGCACTATAAGCTTCGATTCCGACCCTCACAAACAAAAAAGATGCCGAGGCATGTAGGAGTGATGGAGAATGAGTTCATTCTCTACTATTTACTTAAGAAACCCCCCCAAAAAATAAAAAAAATAATCCCTATATTACCCCCATAAGGAATATATATTTTTTATTTTTTGGGGGGGTTCGTAAGCAAACAGTAGTTCTGGAGCGAGGCGTTATGAACCTAAACCCGAGCCTGGCAGTCCCGAGTCGCAAGCGTTTGCTTTCTTGCGGTAAGGATGTCCTTAAGGGGGGGTGGTCCAAGGGGGGTAGGTAACCTAGTAATCCCCATTATTCCCCAATACTCCCTAAGCTTCCCTAAGGTTCCCCAAAGCTCCCTAGTACCCTCCCCCCTTGAACCACCCCCCCTTAAGGATCCTATAAGTAATGGATGGTTTGGTCCCAATCGGCTCGTACAGCAAGTTTCTGGTGTGGACACTGGTGAATACGGGCTTAGGGTTTCGAGATCGCTTGGAACGTCTGCCTGCTTTGCTTCGCTGTGAGTCTGAGTAGTGTTTTGGCGGTCTTGGGCTGGGCCGTGTCTTCACACCACCTGCGTGCTGAACCAGCACGCGACGTGCAAGCCAATCAGGCCCTCAACTCCCAAACTCGAGACCCCAACGCCACTGTTTTGACCTCAAACCACCCTCAACAATTACTTCCAAAACTTTCGAGCCTCAATAACAATCCCTAAACCCTGAACCCTAAACCGCTGCACCCCTAAACCCCTAAAGGCCCTAAACCCGAAACCCTAAACCCGGAACCCTGCACCCTAAACCCGAAACCTTTTTTTGCCACTGCGCTTGGGGCTAGCCAGATCCTGAAACCCTAAACCCTAAACTCTGAACCCTCCGCCCGCCAGGTGGCCTATGGCCCAAGCGGCACGGAGAGAAGCAACCTAAGGCTCGGGAGTTAAGGGGCTCTAAGATAGGGGCCTTCATAGTTTCGATAGGGTTCCTTTAAAGGGGTCTATAAGGGTTACTTTAAGGGTTCTATAAGGGGCCTCTAACAAAGGAGCCTTAATAATTTTAACAGGCTTTTGGGGCCCATTATGCTATAAATGAAACAAGGAACCCCCAAAACAGTATAGGTAATGGATACGGCTCGAAGTTGATAAGGCCCGCACATTATGTTCATGATGGTTCCGTTTGGGTTCTATACAAGGGCTCTAGAAGGTGTGGGCTTCTTTGAGGGCTTCGGGCTTCAAAAGAGAGGGTTTTGGATTCAGCTCTGCAAGTTCGTCAAGCTTCCGGAATTTGGCCGGTCCTGTTTCCATGCGTTTGGGCATACAGTGAACCCCGTAAAGTTGGAAACCGGATAAAGGCCAACTAGTGCTGGGATACCCTATACATCACTCTTAGGGATCGAGGCTATTGGGTTTCCAACTTTCGGGCTTCTACTCTATACTGAACTTAAAACCCTAGCAAAATTATGATTTTAGCTGTTTCTTAGGGATTATAATAACCAAAAAAAATTAGTTCTAGGTACCCCTAAGTGTAGGAGTGACGACTCAGGACCTCAAGGGCTTGGCATCCAAGGCCAAATAAGCGTTCCGGTGACGGCGTCCGTCGGCTTGATAGCCGACAACTTAGCGTGCAGCCTCTTCGTTCAGAAAAGTCGACGATCGATGCAGGAGCCCCTTGAACTGAGGTTGTCGCCAACAATCTACTGGAGGCACATTGGAAACAGTGAGTACACTATGGATCCGCTATGATCGGGCTGTAAGCTATTCACTCAACAGGACACCCCAACTGGAGGATAATGTAAGGCCCCTTAATAATTAGAATAGGGGTTTGGCGCCCATTATGCTAGATTTATAATTAATAAGGACCCCCCATAGTATAGGTAATTATTAAGGCCCCTATATTATGTGACCCCAGCGCCAACCTACCTTTTTACGTCTCCGTGCTCGAAGAGTCGTCGGAGTCCTCCTCGCTGTCATTCGGCCCTGATGCGCAGTCTGGCAAAACATTGCGCCCCCGTGCCAGGAAGGAGTTCCTTGGTATAGCAATGCTGACCCTCATTCCATTTTCTTGTAGATACACGCACATAGCGAAACCGCTGTGTATTGCGTCGCGGCTGACAGGTAGCTGAGTGAGAGAGAGAGAGAGAGAGAGAGAGAGAGAGACAGAGAGAGACAGAGCGAGAGAGAGAGAGAGAGAGAGACAGAGAGAGACAGAGCGAGAGAGAGAGAGAGAGAGAGACAGAGAGCAATGCTGACCCTGTTAGGGTTGCAGGGTTGAGGTGTTTAGTGTTTGGGCTGGTCCGTACTCCCGCCTTCCGCCAGAAAAGATTGAATGGATGTACTGAGATACTCACCGTAACGAAGACCTTCAAAATCAGTGCTGATCACAAAGTATGTTTATGCCATCGGGGAGCCAACGCAACAACAAAAACACCTGCACTCCAAGCCCACCGCACTGTGGCAGAAGCCACACCAACATGCGCACAAAACTGTGACCCTGTTTGCACAAATTGCGAGACCCGGATTTGCGAGCAAGTCGGGTTGGTGTCGGATCACCAACCTTTTCGAACCCGCACTTGCTAATGTAGACTTGACTGACTCAAGCGAGTCCGTTGCTAATTAGGTTATCATCAACACCCCCCCCCCCAAGGGAAATCAAACATCCTCTACTAAAACACGAAGCTCCCAACCTCAACCCTCAACCCCAAACCCTAAACTCGAAAAAGTCCCAACTTGGATGCTCCTGAAGCCTCGGCAACCTGCCAAGGCTCAGCAGGCAACGGCCACAGCAAGGAATCGCTCTGGTCCCACGCATGCCGAGGCAGGTAAATGTGAACACGATCACGTGCGCAATGGCAGGGAGGATGAACCTCATTCTATCATATAAAATTGGTATATAATATAAGTTATAGTATGGCGTAGTACAGTATCGTATAGTGTAGTAAGAATAGTGTAGTATAGTATAGCACTGTATAGACAAGTATAGGAGCGATAAACATATCCGCTCCAGGGCTTTAGGTCTTTGGACAATGCCTTCAGCACTGAAGAGCCTTGGAACAAAGCCTTTGACTTAGGGACAGCCCGCCGGCCAAAACTCGAAGCCACGTACGAAAGTGAGTTTAGGAGTTTGGGGTTGTGGGGAATGATTAAGGTTTAGGCTTTGGGGCTCTGCGTGTGTGTGTGTGTGTGTGTGTGTGTGTGTGTGTGTGTGTGTGTGTGTGTGTGTGTGTGTGTGTGTGTGTGTGTGTGTGTGTGTGTGTGTGCTTCTGTGTGCGTATGCGTGCCAGAGTATAGCTTTCCGGGCGGGGTTGAAGCGGCCTCAACTCCCCTAGATTCTAAAACCTACACCCTCCAACTGAACCCTAAAACCTAGAACTTACAAGTCCTCATACCGATAAACCCTAAACTGAAAGCCCTAAAATTGTGCCGTAAGCCGATTCGGCGGTAGATGTCTCGTGTCGAAGAGGAATAGGCGTGTAATTCGAACCCAAGTTAGTTCTTCCTTGTGGTTTAGGGCTTAGGGTCCACGGTGGGATCCACTCACTCGGGTCTTCATTTCTGTGCCGTGTGGGTCTTCAATGAAGTACTACACAAAAATGATAAATCCCTAAACTTTTCTCTGCCTTGCTACGTAAAGGTTACTGTTTAGATGTTTAAAATCCTGAGCTGGATGTGACTGTTTCATGTTTTTCGTGCAAGACTACATCTTAGGGGGGCTGAGTAGCCTGTACAAAACCCGGAATGTCAAAGTTTACCCAGTCCGCTACGAAGATTTCAAGATATAGATTCAACACCCAAGCGACCCCGGAAAAGAAGACCTAAGCGACCCTTTGGCCATCTAACTATGGTTCAGGGTTTAGTGGCTTAGCGCACTTCGGACTTACATAAGGGTTCATGGGTTGAGGGTTTGGGGTTCGATGTTGCCACATCGTGGTGGTGGTGGTGGTGGTGGTGGTGGTGGTGGTGGTGGCGGTGGTGGTGGTGGTGGTGGTGGGGGCGGCGGCGGCGGCGGCGGTGGTGGTGGTTGTGGTTGTGGTTGTGGTGGTGGTTGCGGTGTCGGTGACGAACACGGTCACGAGGAGACATGATGGTCATGACGGCTGCCATCATCAAGAACGTGATTGTCTCTAATGTCACCAAGACACCAGGTGTACGCAGCCTCCTCCGTAACATCTTCATGGTGCCACTCCCAGAAAACGAGCAGTGGGCAAGATATCAGGATATACCCGGAAACCACTTTGGCAATCATCTTGAATGCGAAGCACCTCTCATCGGATGGACTCCACCAGATCAGCAAAATCACCACACTTCTGATCGCGACAGGTATGCCTGGCCAAAGCCAATACTGCCAAACACAGCGTAGGAAAGTAATGTCCAGGACCAGCTGCACGAGAGAGAGAAAGTGGAAGACCGCCAGAAATAGAAAAGGTAGCGCGACCTCTGCGCCACCTGCCCCTTCAATACTGATGCCAGCCCGATCCATCTCTCTGAGAGTCGGGGTTGACATCCCAGCTGTCAGAAGCACATGAATGGCGTGGTCCACTGCATCAGTTCTGCTTCCAATGGCAATGCGGATTCTCTCTGCATCCTCCGCTTGCGAGCACGTGGCCTGCTCAGGGTCTGCAGCTTCAGTTTCGGGTTCCAGGCCTCAGGATAACTGTGATGATGTCGGTGGTTCCGGCGGTGGTGGTGATGCTGTTGCTGGCGGCTGTGGCAAACCCGGAAACTCTGAAACCTGGAACGCCCCCAAAAATGAGTAAAAAACCCGAAGCCCCTGAACCCAACCACCGCTACGAAATATCCCAGACTCCGACGCCTGAAGCCCACCCGTAGTCTCCATTGTAGTTCTTCCACTTACAGTAGAAGCCAGAAAGTTGGAATATGATTATCCTAACCCCTTTAAGGTAAATTATAGGGGATCCTACCATTAATCCATATTCCAACTTTCTGGAGTTCCCTTTATTGGTCAAACCAACTTCAGAGTCAGGATCCTGCAAGGCGACGCCAAAAAAGGAACCACCATACAAACCCTCACCCACAAAGTCTCAGGATGCCAATAGACGTGCATAGCCGGGCCTTCGAAAACAGAACATGATGTGTGAGACCTTCAGAAGTACATATGTGTAGCTCTACACTCCCCGTTTGCTACGGGACTCAAGTCTAGCAGACACCCTGTTACTGCTAAACCCGGAGCCCCGAAACATCCAAACCCTCAAAGGCAGTAAGCCCTTATAGAACCCTGCTACAACCACGTTGCAGCCCTTATAGACCACGTTAGAGAACCCTTCCAAAATCCTACACCCGACATTCCTGAAACCCTATACAAAAAGACCTTGCAAGGCCTCCATCAAAAAAAATGAACCCACAAAACCCGCAAAACCGGAGACTAAAGCAGCCTCCCCGACCTCTTCATCAAGGAAAAGATGACTAAAAGTATCTTCCTCAATAAGCAGTTTGGGGACCCTAGTGATCCTAGTTGAGCCTTAAACCAGCTAAACCCTAAAGCCCCCCTAGACCCGTAAACCGCCCAAGCCCTTAAACCCCCCGAGCCTAAACCATAAACCCTAAACCCTAAACCCTGAACCCTGAACCCTAAACCCTAAACCCTAAACCCTGAAGCCCCCAAAATCCCCCCTTTCAACGGCCTGAGCTATGGATCCTTCAAAGCCTCTCCTCAGATGCAAAGCCTCCTGCATTCCTGGATTTAGGATTTAGGATTTATTTTGGTTTTAGGGGATGCTTCCGCCCAGAAAGGCGCTCTCTTGAAAAGAGGTCAGAAACTTATGGGGTTTAGGGTAAAGTGGGCCCCTTGAACACTCAGTGTCTGAAAAAAGGCGGTCCCATTTGTGTTTGGGATCAGGGGTGATGCCCTTAAGGGGTGTCGGTGTTTCAGGGTTGGGCTTGGAAGGTTTAGGTCTTTCGGGCTTTAAGGT